AAAAAGGGGGGGTTCCACCTGTTCTCCAAAGCACCCGAAGACAGGAGAAGAAGCAACGGATGGAAATTAATCAAGGAGAGAAGCAACCTGGAACTAAGGAGGAATTTCCTGACAGTGAGGACAATTAACCGGTGGAACTCCTTGCCTCCAGAAATCGTGGGTGCTCCATCACTGGAGGTTTTTAAGAAGAGACTAGACAGCCACTATTTTCCAAAGCCCCTGAAGGCAGGACAAGAAGCAACGGATGGAAACTCATCAAGGAGAGAAGCAACCTAGAACTAAGGAGAAACTTCCTGACAGTGAGAACAATTAACCAGTGGAACAACCTGCCTCCAGAAGCTGTGAATGCTCCAACACTGGAAGTTTTTAAGAAGAGACTGGACAGCCATTTGTCCGAAATGGTATAGGGTTTCCTGCCTGAGCAGGGGGTTGGACTAGATGACCTACAAGGTCCCTTCCAACTTTACTATTATTATTATTATTACTTGTCTGAAATAGCATAGGGCCTCCTGCTTGAGTAGGGGGTTGGACTAGAAGACCCCCAAGGGCCCTTCCAATTCTGTTATTCTGTTATTTCCTCTGTGGTTCTGTTTTCATTCCTCCTTTCTCTAGGACCAACAACAATCTGTTCTTCCTTCTCCACCTTCATTTCTGGCTTTTCCACTTCACACGTTCCCACCGCACTCAACTTTTAACCCTTCTGGGCAGCCGTTTTCCTTCTAACAAGCATTCATTTCCCCGTCAACAGACCACAATTAACTCTCTCCCTTTTAAGCCGGCTTCATTTTAACCCGCTCGGTTTTCCATTTCTCTGGGCAGCGCGCTTCAACCGGAAGTCCTTTCGTCCCTATTTTTCTTTAACAAGATTGATTGATTGAGGCAAGAAAAACCAAATGCACAGGTATAGTATAGGGGGTACCTTGCTCAGTAGTAGTAACTGTGAGAGGGATCTCGGAGTCCTAGTGGACAATCCCTTAAATAGGAGCCAGCCGTGTGCTGCAGCTGCCAAAAAAGCCAACACAGTGCTGGGCTGCATTAACAGAGGGAGAGAATCAAGATCAGGTGAAGTGTTAATACCACTTTACAAGGCCTTGGTAAGGCCACACTTGGAATACGGCATCCAGTTTTGGTCACCACGATGTAAAAAAGATGTTGAGATTCTAGAAAGAGTGCAAAGAAGAGCAACAAAGATGATTTAGGGGACTGGAGGCTAAAACATATAAGGAACGGCTGCTGGAATTGGGAATGTCTAGTTTAACGAAGAGAAGGACGAGGGGGGACATGATAGCAGCCTTCCAGTATCTCAGGGGCTGCCCCAAAGAAGAGGGAGTCAAGCTATTCTCCAAAGCACCTGAGGTCAAAGACAAGAAGCAACGGATGGAAACTCATCAAGGGGAGAAGCAACCTGGAACTAAGGAGAAACTTCCTGACAGTGAGAACAATTAACCAGTGGAACTCCTTGCCTCCATAAGCGGTGAATGCTCCAACACTGGATGTTTTTAAGAAGAGACTGGACAGCCATTTGTCTGAAATGGTATAGGGTTTCCTGCCTGAGCAGGGGGTTGGACTACTAGATGACCTCCAAGGTCACTTCCAACTTTATTATTATTATATTTTATGGATAGATGGGGGGGAAAAAGGAGGGTAGAATCCAATTTATCTCCTAGGTTTCCGGGGCTGTTAGTCTCAGGCTCCGGGTCCAGCCGTGGGGAGGGGTCTTCTGGGAACTGATAAGCAAGGAATGTGCAGGTGGCCACCAAGGTGAATCAGGCTATGAGCAAACCGCACGGTACACAAACGCTTCTACTTCCTCCAGTTTTTCACCTTTTATGTGTGAGTGCAATCATTCAATTTCCCTGTCAAACCCAGCTATCCAGGCCTTGCGACACACGCCCATGTTCAGATCCACATCTTTGTTGCATCTGATGGCCTACCATGTGTGTGTGTGTGTGTGGGTACAAACATAGTCCTTGACTTATGACAGTTTAATGACTGAAGTTATGACACTGAAAAAAACTGATTTATGACCGTTTTTTCTCATTTACGAGTTGCAGCATCTCGTACATGAGAGAAGAGCAACCAAGATGATCAGGCGACTGGAGGCTAAAACATACAAGGAACGGTTGCTGGAATTGGGGATGTCTCGTTTAATGACGAGAAGGACCAGGGGTGACATGATAGCAGCCTTCCAGTATCTCAGGGGCTGCCCCAAAGAAGAGGGAGTCAAGCTATTCTCCAAAGCGCCTGAAGGCAGGACAAGAAGCAACGGGTGGAAACTAATCAAGGAGAGAAGCAACCTAGAATTAAGGAGAAATTTCCTGACAGTGAGAACAATTAACCAGTGGAACAACCTGTCTCCAGAAGCGGTGAACGCTCCAACACTGGAAGTTTTTAAGAAGAAACTGGACAGCCATTTGTCCGAAATGGTATAGGGTTACCTGCCTGAGCAGGGGGTTGGACTAGATGACCTCCAAGGTCCCTTCCAGCTCTGTTAGTCTCCCCTCAACCAATGCTGGAAAAAATGGCTTATTTCTTCAGACTGGAGACGAAGATCCCACGGTTGAAAGGTTTCCTCCCCGCTTTCCCACCAGCATGCGTCTACATGACCTCAAAGGGTCTCAGCCACACACACACACCAAACCAAGGCAAGTGGGACCTCCTAGCCCAGGGGTAGGCAACCTCGGCTCTTTTATGATTTGCGGACTTCAACTCCCAGAATTCCTGATCCAGCATGGTGGAACTATGGCCCCTTCATGACTGGCGGACTTCAACTCCCAGAATTCCTCAGCCAGCATGGGGGAATTATGGCCCCCTCATGACTGGTGGACTTCAACTCCCAGAATTCCTCAGCCAGCATGGGGGAATTATGGCCCCCTCATGACTGGTGGACTTCAACTCCCAGAATTCCTCAGCCAGCATGGGGGAACTATGGCCCCTTCATGACTGGCGGACTTCAACTCCCAGAATTCCTGAGCCAGCATGGGGGAATTATGGCCCCTTCATGACTCGTGGACTTCAACTCCCAGAATTCCTCACCCAGCATGAGGGAAACTT